ACTAAGTCATCCTATTGACAACAGTTTGATCTTAGCAAACATTCCTTCTTACAGCAGCTCCTCAGTATCATTACATGACAATCAGTAACTAGTCTGTCCTTGAGCCAGCAACCTGCTGTGCCACAATCCTCATCTTGCAACAGAGACTTGTAGCCTGAGGGAAATTTCCAGTCCTTGCAAGGTCCAATATTTGCAACTGCAAGGCTTTGGAAAAACAGGCCCTGTGAAGTACATGTGCTCTATATAGTATATTCCACAGAGATCCTTTGCCTCCTCTCCCTTATCTGCTGCCCCCGTGAACACTCGGCTCTCGGCCACTCCCCAGGGCCGGGCCTCGGCTGGTGCCCCTGACTCCTCATGGTGGATGCGGGAGCCGTCAGGCCTTGCTGCAGCCTGTGTCTAGTCTCCCAGCGCGTGATGCTGCTTCCCCCAGGGTTAGGTGGTCCATTTGTCCATTGGGGATGGCGGCACCTCCTGCAGAGATGCCGAGATGTTTGAAGGTGCTTGGCATGTGCCCATCACATGCAATTGGTGGTGGCAGCTATGATCTCTGTTGTCGCCTGCGTCTAGCCTCCGGTGGCTTTTGCTGTTGCTGCCTGCAGGAGTCTTGGAATCTGCCTATCCAAGAGGGCCGTGCGTTTTTTAAAGTTGACCTTCTATTGTATCGAAGTAATACATGCACACACTGGCAGAAGCATTGGACTTCAGCAGGTCCAGAGCTTTAAGTGTGGTGCGTTTCCATAATGCCTGCCCCTCGGACAGGGCAGCTTCTGAGCATTTGTGGCACTCCTCGTGGCTCGGCCCTGTCCCTGCTGATGGAAGAGACACTTTGTGTCCCAGTGGTCGTCACGCGGGTAGTGTGGCCCTGTGCTGGCATGCCCTCCCTGTCTGAGGTGCACATGTGGGCCTTGGCATCAGGTGGGCCGGGCTAGGCCATTCACCATCCCTGCCATGACCTTGAGCTGGGTCTCCTGACCTGGGCCTCCTGAGGGATAGGAATTGCCTGGGATCGTGAGGGGCAAGTGGGACCTGCAGGACCTCTCCCAGCCTTGCCCCTCTGAGTCTGGGGTGGCTCTGTGTGCTGTGCTGGCCGCTCCGTCAGGGAATGGTGGGTGCTGCACGGCCCTGTGTCTGCAGTTCTTCGAGGGAAAGGAGCTCCGCCTGAAGCAGGAGTACTTTGTGGTGGCCGCAACCCTCCAGGACATCATTCGCCGCTTCAAGTCGTCCAAGTTCGGCTGCCGAGACCCAGTGAGAACCTGTTTTGAGACGTTCCCAGACAAGGTATGTTGAGCGATGGGGGAGCGAGCCCCATGCCAGAGAGACAGGACATTCTCAGGCCCTTGAGCTTTCTTCTTCGTGGCTGCATGTGTCCTGGTAAGGCTGCAGTGGGACCAGCAGCACCCCCTTATCTTGGGGTCTTGCCATCCTGGGCCAGGACCCTACCCAGGACTTTTCTCCCAGGATAAGGGCCACTGGCGTGGTTAGGAGTCGAGGCAGGAAGGGGCATGTAAAAGGCTCTTGTGGTGAAGCCAGGTGCCTTTGGCAGGCCAGGTGCAGTCATTTTAAACTCAACTGTCATATCCTAGAGAGAGAGCCCCCAGCACTGAAGCAGGAGGGCTGTGGGTCCCGCAGCTCCCCCCATGCCCGACTGCAGAGTACACCCACTCCAGGGCACCTGCCGTGGGGCACACCTGGTGCAGAGCTGGTGGTGTCCTCCCGGCTTCCTCCCCAAACCGCCCTGGGCTCTCTGGGCTCCTCTGGGATGCAGTGGGATGGACAGGCTCCTTCATACCTGGGACTGCATGTGCTGACCCCTGCGGGTGCCCTTGCTGGCTGAGGCGACTGGATGGCACCCCTCATGTGGACTGTAGGTGGCCATCCAGCTGAACGACACCCACCCGGCCCTCTCCATCCCTGAGCTCATGCGGATCCTAGTGGACGTGGAGAAGGTGGACTGGGACAAGGTGAGTGCTGGGGAGAAGGGCAGACAGTGACGTCCCCAGACCCGGATGGGAGCAACAGGGTCCCCCTCAGACCCGGACCTGCGCAGTGAGGTCCCCCAGACCTGGATGCGGGGGACGCCATCCACCCCAGACATCTGAGATGATGCAAGCCACAGTTACGAGCGGTTCAGCTAGTCCTAGCAAGTGGGGAGTCTCTCCCTGGGCCTGGGCAGTGCTGTGTGCACGTCACCCTTGAGAGACATGTGGCTCCAGGAGATGGACATTCTGTGGGATGGGGCAGTCGTGGGGACAAGGGTGGGAGGGCACAGAAGAGACAAGGAAAGGGTTCTAACACTTTTTAGGGCTTCTAAGATATGTTTTCTCATCTTGAAGTTTGGCAAAAAAACCCAGAGATGTTCGGTTTTAAGGAATAAATAGTTCCCATCTTTATGGACTGGTCCTCATGGCTCAGTTTATTTCAGTCCTAGATTTTTAGTATAGCGGATTATTTTAACGTAGTCTTAGCCAAATTGACATGTAAAACCACAAAACACTTTTTTAACTCTGTTTTCTGGAAACCAGAGGGTGGGCTAGGATCCCTCAGTCCTGGCCTGCAGGGTCTAGCCACATTGTGACCGGTGTGGGTGTCAGGTCAGTTTAGTAGAAATGAACAGAAAACTGCCCAGTGGTCTGTTAATTGCCAATAAACAGCCGTTTACAGAAGGAAAATTGAAAAAGAGCAGGTGAGTGTTATTCTTCTGCCTATGTGCTGCGCCACGTCGGGTGTAAAACTCACAGGGTCTCGTCAGCAGAGTGAGGGGCATAGGGTGGTTAGAGGCCTTGAGGAGGCCCTTGATGGGCCTTGAAGAGCAGATGGCGATGGATGTCACCTTGCCAGGCATCTGGGCAAAGAGCTGCTCGTTTCCAGACAAAACACACACACTGGGATGTTCTCAAATGGTCTAGGCCTGGGAAATCACAAAGAAGACCTGTGCATACACCAACCACACGGTGCTGCCCGAGGCTTTGGAGCGCTGGCCCGTGTCCATGTTTGAGAAGCTGCTGCCACGGCACCTGGACATAATCTACGCCATCAACCAGAGGCACCTGGATGTGAGCATCAGACCCACGGGTGGGCGTGCATACTGTGACAACTGCCCCTCCTCTCTTGTGATGGGTGGGGGCACAGGCTGTGGCGGGCTCCACCGAGTCAATGGCCCCTCCTCTTGTGACAGGTGGGGGTGCAGGCTGTGGCAGTTTCCACCTTTCTGGCCTGGGAGAGAAGATGCTTTACTCCTTGAACCAGAGTAGCCTCTGTTCCCCAGAGGACGTTTGGGGTCTGGGGTGTCACCTGGCAGAGCTGTTCCCACACCTAGACCTCTGCTCTCTCTGCATGTGAGAGTCGTGGACTAATGTCTTCTTCAAAACTTTCCCATTCCCAAGCAGGCTTTAGAAGTAGGTGTGTCTTCCTGGGTGCCAGATCTCTGTCCTGTGGGCATCCTAGCAGCATTAGGGCTATGGAGAAACACAGCCCCAATTGTCCTTTCTGTGCTGCCTGCAGAGAGGAACCAGGAACTCAGGTGTAATCGTAGCTTCCTCTTTACCCTCTTGGTGAGAATGTGGTTGAATGCTGCACAGACCATCGGGGGCAGCCGGTCCAGCCCCTCCTCATAAATTGAATGGCATGTCCTCCACCCTGCGGGGTGCCTGTCTTCCTCAGAGCAGCCCTGTGGGTCTGTAGGTGGGGCCCAGGGCCTGTCAGGTGGGCTTCCTCCTAGAACCGGGGTCCCTGCAAGGTGTGTCTGAAGTGTGTGCTGGGCTGGGGGCGCTGGAGTGCAGGTCTGAACACAGCAGCCTTCCGCATTTCTGGAGGAAGTATGACTCCCCACAGGCAGTAGCACTCTGTTCTCTCATGGGGGAGCTGCTCGGTCACCCCATGGCTTTCTGTGTCTTGGCCTTAGCACGTGGCCGCCCTATTTCCTGGGGACGTGGACCGCTTGAGAAGGATGTCTGTGATCGAGGAAGGGGACTGTAAACGTATCAACATGGCCCACCTGTGTGTGATCGGCTCCCATGCTGTCAACGGCGTGGCCAGGATCCACTCGGAGATTGTGAAACAGTCTGTGTGAGTGGGGGGTACCGGCCTAAGCCGGCAAGGGTGGGGCCCTCCTTTCCGACGTCTAGTCCTGCCTCTGGAACCGCCTGCCACATACCACACACACCGCGACCTCTGGGGTGGGGTGGCCAATGTGCTGCCTCTGTGGGAATGACATGAGGGCATCTGGAGCTCTGACTCGGTGGGCAGTGCTGGGGAGACGGCTTTCCTCCCTGTGCTGCTGGTCCACCTGCCACTGGCTAAGTGCCACAGACACCCCACCTGAGGCTCAGCACGCAGGGCCTGGGCACGGGGTGGGCAGGGGCGCGACAGCCCAGGCTTGCTGCTGAGCAGAAGGTGGGGTTCTTGGGTCAAAGCTTGACGTCCCTCTCAGGTGGGATGTGACCCAGGGATTCCTTCCTTCCATCCTTCCACCAGGTGTATGTCGAGCACCTGGGGTGGGAGGAAGCGTGGACCAAGTTGGTCTGTGTGGAGGGGCTTCTGTGTTGGGTGCTGGGCCAAGGAGCTTTGTGTGTTAATCCCACAGCAACTTCTGAGGTGGGTGTTTCCCTTAGTTTACAGATGAGGAAACTGAGCCCAGTTTCCTGAGCTCTAAAGCTTGTACAGTCCCCACTGCCATGACCAGACCACTGATTCCGTGTAGAGCTCTCCATGAGGTCATAGCTAGTGCCAGCCACACGGTGGAGAAGGCTCTGGAGAGTCAGCCACGGTCTCCCAGCTCCTGAAACCTGCGGCTGTGGCAACGTCGCTCCCTTTTCAGGAGACGGCACAGGAGCCCTCTTCAGCACCTCCTGGAGCTTTCCTTCAAAGGTCCTTTTGTTCTTCTGCTCACCTGGTTGAAAACAGTGTTTGTGACCATTCCCTATTCTCTGTTCGCAGCTTTAAGGATTTTTATGAGCTGGAGCCGGAGAAGTTCCAGAACAAGACAAACGGTATCACACCCCGACGGTGGCTGCTGCTGTGCAACCCAGGACTGGCTGACGCCATCGTGGAGGTGAGCAGCCCCGCCTTGTGCCGATGGGGCCCAGGTCTGAGGCCGTGGCTGCTGCTGGGCAGGATTGTCAAGCCCGTGCTGAGTGGGTGCCCAGGGGCAGGGATCTCAGTTCCTTATGTGCTGACCCGCAGTGGCTCCTGGACATGAGGGTGAGGTCCCTGGACACAGTGTGTCGGTCTGGGGCTGGCAGTCGGTGAGCAGCCCCAGTTCCCAGCTTCAGGCAGGGCTGGGGTGCTGCTGCACAGGTGGCCGACTGCTGGGACAAGTCCAGAGACACGGCAGTTTATCTACTTGTGCTACTCAGGAGCCAGAGGGGATGAGCACTCAGTGCCAAGCCACATGCTAGAGTTGAGGACTGCAACCAGTGGCAGCAGGAGGCTGCTGTCTGGGGCTCTGAGAAAGCCGAGGTCTGAAGCCCGGACAGGTTGGGAGGTAGCCAGGAGCATCTCTGGGGGCACATGTGGTCCAATGCCCCGTGCCCAGCCAGGGCCTGGAGGACCAGTGCGGCTCCGAGGAGGGCCCAGGTGGGGCAGAATGAGGAGAGGCTGAAATGGCTGAGGCATTTGCGGGCAGCAGCAGGAAGCCTGAAGCAGGAGGGTCCTGGATGAGATGCTAATTTTGAAGCGACCACCCTCCTAGTGTGTGGAGAAGAGAGGGGAGAAGGTACCTGTCCGTTCCTGGCAGTGGCGGTGGTGGACGTGCAGGTGCAGGGGTGGCGAGGAGGAGCTGGCCAGGCTGGCCCCTGGCTTCAGGCCCGTGGTGGGGGTGCCCTACATCAAGGAGCCCTGGGGACTGGCAACCGAGGGAGCTCAGGCATTGTTGTGGACAGTTGAGTTGACAGGACTTGGGCACCCTGAGGAGCCTCAAGGAGTGTGCGCAGGTCTGGCTGGGAAGGAGGCCAGCAGGCGGCCATGCGGCCACAGCAAGGGGGTGTTCTGAAAGGGGGAGGTCTGAGAGCCTGGAAGAGTGAGCAGCCTCAGGAGGGAGGCAGAGGCATGGGTGGCAGAGTGGCAGGAGGACAGCCTCTGGCAGGGTGGTGGCCTGAGAGCCCTGCTGCAGGAGGCTGAGGCTGTGTGAACAGAAACCACGTGGCCATGTCTGTTCCCCAGAAAATCGGGGAGGATTTCCTGACTGACCTGAGCCAGCTGAAGAAGCTGCTGCCGCTCATCAATGACGAGGCGTTCATCAGGGACGTGGCCAAAGTCAAGCAGGTGGGCCGCCGTGGTCCCCTGTCCCCCGGGCCCAGTGTGGTTCTGTGTGAACCCGCCGGCACCTCAGCAGGGACTTGGGAAAGGACCCTGATAGCGGGGGTGTCAGGCAGCTTTCCAGCTGAGGACCCCGACTGACCGCAGGTCACACAGCGGCGGGCGAGTGCGGACTCCCAGGCCAGGCCTGAGCAGTTCGTAGGGAGGAAGCTTCTAGATGCCCATCCTGGCACGGTGCCAGTGCCGGCTTCAGCAGCCTCGGCCTTGTCACCCTGACAGGAGTGAGGGCGGGAGCGAGGGCGGCCTCAGGTGGTGTTGGGTGGCACGGGCCGCCTGCCTCTCTGCTGTGCCGGCAGCTTGTCCTGGAAGCCCAGAAAGTTCCTCCCTTTTTTTTTTTTTTGTCTTTTTGTCTTTTTCCGTGTCCGGCAACGGATCGCAACCCTCAGTGTTGCCCCCGCACCGGACCGGGACCGGCAACGGGATTGCAACCCTCGGCGTTGCTCCCGCGCCTCCCTCAGCCAGTGAGCAGGAACCGGTCTGCATGTGGGATCCGAACCCTCGGCGGGAGCGCTGCCGCACTTCCCAAGCGGTGCACTGTAGCAGTGCGCCACCGGGCCGGGCCAGAAAGTTCCTCCCTTTTGTCCTTTAAACTGTTCCCGCCTCCCCCGCGTCCTCACTGCCCGCGCGCTGCACTCACGGTTCCTTCATTCTGCCCTTTCCTCGCCCTTCCGCTCGGCTCCAGCTTCCTGGTCTAGTGTTCATGTATGTCTGCCACCCTTTTCAGTGTCACCCTTCCTCCTCTTCCTCTCATGCCATCTCTGCCCCACCCCACCCCCTTGTCTCTGGGCCCCGCCGCTGCTGCCGGGGACTCGTGACAGGGCAGACACGTTCCCCCAGGAGCAGCCACTCTTCTCCGTCCTTCCAGGAAAACAAGTTGAAGTTCTCTGCCTTCCTGGAGAGGGAGTACAAGGTGAGGATCAACCCCTCCTCCATGTTCGACGTGCACGTGAAGAGGATCCACGAGTACAAGCGGCAGCTGCTCAACTGCCTGCACGTGGTCACCCTGTACAACCGTGAGTGCCACCACGCCACCTCCAGCCAGCTCAGGCCATGCTGGCTGCTGTCCTTGGACCCTGGCCTTCCTCACCCCGTTGGGACGTGTGTGTGGCGTGGCATGTGTTGACTTCAAGAAGTCGCCGTGTGGTGTTCTGTGCGCTCGGAGCCAGGGCCTGGGGGACAGGAGCAGGTGCACAGCGCGTGGGTCGTGAGGCCTCTGTGGAGCCTCGGCGGAGGCGCCACTTCATGGGACGCTGAGGCTGGGTTTTATGTTCAGTTTACTTTTTATTTTAAATTTAGTTATTATCTCTATGAGACTTATCTTATTTGGAAAGGTTGTGCTTGTTAGAGGCATTTCAAGTATACTTACAACGCGCAGAATAGTACATGTTAAATTGATGTATGTACCTGCATGAGTTCTTTAAGGACATTTAGTTATGAGAACAAACATGGATTAAAGACCCTCTAAAAGTTAATATGAACATTTGCTAGGTTTATAAATAGATAATAAAACTTTAAAGAAAAACTAGGTTTCTAAAATTTTGTAATGTAAGAGAGGATATTTTAAAGACCAAAGGAAACAAATATTCACTTCAAGGTACAGAGCTCCTCTCAGGAACATTAGATCTTCTGTTCCCAAAAATAAGCCTGGATCAGGTAGAGGAACCTCGACCCCTGAGGCGGGTACTAGCAGGACGGATGCCAGAGGTCTGTGCAGTGGCCCAGGGAGTCCTTGCTGAGGCCTGTGACTTCCCGGCCACACAGCAGTTCATGGGAACCTCAGTGTCGTCCTGGTTTTCTTCTAGTCCTGACGTTCTGCACCTCCGCCGTGCTGTCTCTGAGTGGCCCTGGTGATGGGCAGCAGTGAGAGTCGCTGGTGCCCGCCCCGGCCCCCGTGCAGTCATCACAGCCTCTTTCAGTGTTTGCCTTTGTGCTTCCGTGGCTTCTGCTGCTATGCACTCACTAGCCTGGAAGGGTGCCCTGTGGTTCCCAGCTACGGGTTTAGGTGGGGTGGCCAACGGGCCTGTGCCCTCCTGCCTCGTCCTTTCCCGTCTCTGTGCGTGTGCACGTGTGTGGGCGTGTTGGCGCACACATGCCAGCGCTCGCCCTGTCTCCTGTTTCCAGCTGTTTTCGTCTCGGTCTGCAGACAGGTACACTCAGTGGTAGGCAGCAGCACTGCAGAGTCCCGCCCGGCCCCCTGGTCCTCCACAAGGGCTCGCGGGCACAACACTCCCGATGTGTCGCTTGCTCAGAGCAGCCAGTAGCTGTGAGTCCTAAAGAGTTTGGTGGGACATGCCAGTCCTGCTCGACTTTTTCCTTGAGGAACTTTGGGTGCCCGCACTGCCGCGTCCTGAGGGCGGGTGTCGGTGTGGAGAAGCCCACCGTAGTCCGATTTTCTTTATCATGACTGCTTCTTATTGCTGTGTCGTGGTGTTGCTGACTGTTATGGGTCAGTTTTCCCTGTTACTCAGAGTGTTCCTTGAATATGCTGATTGACTGTGTTATTTCAGAGACGTTTCTGTGACATATGTCAGGAACGTTTGCTTGGTCCTGCTGTTTCGGTTCTCTTCTTCTGGGACTGCACTGAGGTGTGTGGTAGGTTTCTTTTACCTGTCGTCTTGGCGTGACCTGTCACTGAATATTCTCAAAAACCGGTCTTGTCCTGTTCTGTGGTATTTGCTTTCTTGCTTCGCCTCTGCGGTGTCCTTGGGTCTTCGCTCCTGGCTGCCTCTCCTGTCCTGTGCCCAGCCAGGTCTGCTCTCACGTGCTCCTGTTCTCTGGCCTTCTGTCCTTGAGGTCGTGGGTTTTGGTGCGGTGGTCTTCTTTCCAAGTCGATGGTCGTCAAGGGCTGTGACTTACACAGGAAGGGGGTTGTAACACTTTTTGTTGTGTATGTTGGCATTTGTTGCTTGTATTGGAATGAGTGGGACTGTCCAGGACCAACCAGAAGAGGTTTCCCGGTGCCCCAGGGCAGCCCCCAGGCTTCTCGGGTGTTCTTCTGCCAGCCTCAGAACGTGCTGCGCATCTTCTGTCTCCCTGCGTCTCACCTGGTCGGGAGGCTCCCACATGGCTCAGGCTGTAGCACACACACGGCCAGACCAGACCTGCCTGTCCACCCTCACGATGGTAGCTGCGGTGTCGGGCAGGGTGCGTCGCTGCGTTGCCTCACTCCAGTCTCTTCTGTTTGTCCTGCAGGGATAAAGAAAGAGCCAGCGAAGGCCTTTGTGCCCAGGACTGTTATGATCGGGGGCAAGGTGAGGTGGCTTCCTCTTCGCTCCATCTGATATTTGGCTCAGATGCACAAACGACCCCACTGGCTGGGATCAGCCTGCACGTTTCTCATGGAGCCGCTGCACGCCCCCTCAGGAGCCTGCTCCCCAGCAGGCCGGACAGCACGCCTGCAGGCATCCTTACAGGACTGAAGGCACTTCAGAGCCGGCTGAATAGGAGGGAGCTGGGTGGAGGGTGTCCAGTGGGCTTGCTGGACCCCCATCAGAGGGTGCGGTGCCCTTTTCCTGCAAACCCACAGGATTTTGTGGTGCACCTGCAGCCAAGTGGGTGCAGGGTGGCTTCATTAGTCACCTGTGAGCCTGCCCTGAGCTCAGCTTGGTTTCATTTCATTCTGTTTACTGTGACTTATACTTCCAGAGCACTAGACACGCTGTCACAGAGTCCCATGTTACACCACCCTTGGCCCTCGGCCGGCATCCCACTTCCTGCACTTTTTCCCAGTAGCTTGGTCTTCCTCAGAGTGGCGGGGAGGCGGCGGGGTGCAGCTTCCCTGGAGCAGTGGACCAATGTCAGTGCCCTGGATCCTCCTTCGACCTGGAACATGGCTAGGCTGCATGAGCCACCCCCAGCCTTCCGTGCCCAGGGCTGCGGAACGCCCCGGGGTGTCGGCAGGTGCTGGAACCTGTCCTTGGCTGGCAGGGCTATCCTGTCCTCTGGCGTCCCCACATGCAAAGGTAGTGGGAGGCAGAGGGCACCCCGCGGGCTCAGCCCCACCCACGCTCACCATGCTTTATCTGCCTGCTCCCTGTCACCTGCAAATTTTGAACATTGTGCCATTTTGTTTGTGTTTCAGTATGTAAAGTCCACAGAGACGTGGACTTTAAAAAAAGATTTAAAATGCTATGAAAAATTCCTAACCCAAAGAAAAGTTGGAAGAATTGCAGAACATCCGTAAACCTCTCCGTCAGACTTGGTTGGGCCGTTTCACAGTGAATGCCGTGTGTTACAGCACCTCCCTCCTGAATACTTTATCTCCCATCTTCATAACATGCTTTCCTCCAAAGCCACAATAGATACAGACTCGTTTAAACATCACCACATACTGGTACTGCTGGTCACTCCTGTGTGTTACAGCACCTCCCTCCTGAATACTTTATCTCCCATCTTCATAACATGCTTTCCTCCGAAGCCACAATAGATACAGACTCGTTTAAACATCACCACATACTGGTACTGCTGATCACTCCCGGAACGCTTGACAGGAATTTCTCCAGGCCACTAAGTGTCCACATGCCCAGGTGTCTCACCAACGCTACAGTCTTCACGTTTGTTCACAGCAGGGCCCCAGCAAGGTCCGCGCATTAAGATTGGTCAATACGTTTGTTAATTCTCCTGGTCTACAGGTTTTTCTTCCACTTTTCCTTTTTTTTTTTTCTCTCTTTTGCAATTTGTTATAAAAATAAGGTTGTCGTCCTGAGGCGGCTTTTTCTGAGTGCATCACTCTACTTAGTTCTCAGTGTTTCCTGTAAGTTGATAGTCCTAGAAGTCCTTGTTTCTTTTATCTTCTAATTTCTGAAAAACTTAGTAGAATCAGAAAATC